AAACTTACGCAACGCTTTTGATTTCTGTGTTGTTATGTTTTACTGTTGAAACACTCCTACTGATTCCACGCGCTCGATCGAGCGAAGTGAGTTCGTCAAACTCACTTGAAGTCAAGTGTGTTCCTCAGGAAGGAGCCGTGTGGCACACTACAGAAATGACACTAAGGGCGAAGTGCACTCGCTTGTAGTGACACTAAACTAGCCCGTCTGACAGGGGTATAAGAGCCACCGAGGTGGTTTTGGAAACAAAATATAGTCGAACCATTCCGACAAGCAGAGTTTGATATCGTAAATGATTTATGCAAGTGATAAAAACATTAAAATGTTTTCGCATACGTGGCGGAATCTGAAATGGCAGAATGCATTTCATGGCGCCCATTTATACCCCTGTCAGACGGGCTAGTTTAGTGTCACTACAAGCGAGTGCACTTCGCCCTTAGTGTCATTTCTGTAGTGTGCCACACGGCTCCTTCCTGAGGAACACACTTGGCTTGGAGTGAGTTTGACGAACTCACTTCGCTCGATCGAGCGCGTGGAATCAGTAGGAGTGTTTCAACAGTAAAACATAACAACACAGAACCCAAAAGCGTGGCGTAAGTTTTATTTTATAAAGAAAAAGAAATTCGTGAAAGCGACGACATGTAAAAGAGTGGCATTTCAAAAAAAAAAAAAAATTGTGGGGTGGACTTGGAGTTTAGGCTGATCTGAATCAAGATTAGCGGATCGCTGAATTGATAAAAGACGACGACGAAGTCAGTCATTCATGGCTATCTTGGTTCGCAGCGAATGATAGAGCCTACTTTTGTTTCAGCATGTAACTATTTGAGGCCACACTATAATTATGATCTGATTAGGCAGTGTCAGGGCCTCCTCGTAGACTTCCGTGGAACGAAGCGGAACGCCAAAGTTGGATATGCTTCGTTCTTTATCTTGGCTTGCGATGATCGATCAGAATCATTCAATTTGCATAAAAATCGTTCATTACTGTAACGTTGTTTTAGTGCACAGCTCCTAGGCACCCATTTCTGGGTTGAGCGGCGTCGGCGTAACCGCGCGTTGCATTAAGGGCTGTTTCCCAAAATGACGTCACACGTGACGTCACGCGTGTCGTCATGTGTGACGTCACGAGGGTAAAATTTTCCCGCTAAAATTTGCGGTAAAAGTTTTTGCGAACTTTGGCGGAAAATTTTTCCGCTAAATTTAGAGGAAACATTTTACCCATGTGACGTCACGTGACGTCACACTTAAAATTTCAGATGACGTGTCATGTGACGGCACACGTCAATTCAGCGGGAAAATTTCCCGACTAAATTTAGCGGGAAATTTAGCGAAATTTTTACGCTAAGTGGGATGGGAACAGGAGAGGAGGATAGGAGGGTACGGAGGGGGAGCAGCTGGCATACCCTCCCCTTCGTACCCTTCCTCCCTCTTCCCCAAGAGCTTCACTCCAATTCGGCATTTCAGAGAATTGTAAACGTCAATTTTTTTAACGCAACTTTATTAAAGGGTATCGAAGCCGAGTGGGCTAGCGCCCACCTGATCGGAGTACGTGGAGAGGAAGCTCGCGCTGGAGAAGGAGAACCCAGTGATCCTGAGCTCAATCCCCAGCCCTGCCCGAAGAACACACTTCCAATGAAGTGAGTTCGGGGAGCACACTACGCTCGCTCCGGTAGACACAGTGTGTAATCTCGATAGCAGTGTTCAAGGAATTAATAGAAGAAATTAACGCTGCGTAAAATTAGTATTATTTTGATAGGACTAATATTAGATGCGCACTTGTTTCCTGTTGGCAGGAAAGTAGTGCGTTGTAGAAAAACAAGCGGCTAATCTAGTTTCCAGCCTTGGCCCCTGCACGACGGCCGACGAAGGTCAGTAGGCACCTGCACGACTCCACCAGGAATCTGAAGGTGGCAGGAGAGACGCGAAACGCTTGCTTGAAGTAGAACTCGCCCAAATGGGGCGAGGTGTCTTCGAAGTCCACCGTTGTCGACTGATCACGGGTAGGTTGTCGGTCATGAAAGTGGCTAGGGTGAAGGCATTGGCCTGCAGTTGCTGATCGATGTCACTTGAAATTCTTGTCTGTGCGTCGGCATCCAGGTCCAGCTGCCTCTTATCTGAAAGGCGTTGGGCTCTCACGGAGAAAAGTGCCCCAAACATGCGCCTCCACTGTCCAACATCGCGGATATTGCCCTCCAGCTCGTCCTCCACACACTCCATGATGTTTCATTGTGGCGAGTGGCGAGTGGCCGAGTGGGCTCGCGCACACCAGCTCGGAGCACGCGGAGCGAAAGCTCGCGCTGCAGAACCCAGGAATCCTGGGTTCATTCCCTACTTCTGCTCGTTTCGAACTGTACTCCGTTTCACCTTATATTGTACCGCAGACAAGGCTGGATGCGCGAGCTCATAGCGTTGGGAGCTACTCTTAACGCACGAGAGCTTGTGCAGCCTTGATATGCCCTAGAGCAAGGAGCTCGCGCTTGTAGCCTTTTCTGGGGTACATTATAAGGTGAAACAGAGTATCGTACCGGCGTGCGGACGTGTATCACTGGCTTGTAATGGCTGATCGTAATGATTAAATTGGATTTAAATATGGATTAAAACTCGTGACTTAGCGCAACAATGTGTGGTAACGTGTTTCTAATAAGACGACGAAGTTATTTATGAAAAACATGCGTATGCACTGTAAAATGTTGCGTGCCCATTACTTACCCATCGTTATTGCCATCATTTTGGAGAGACACTAAGTTTTCCCGTGTAGCACCAACACACTTGGAGTGTGTTTCGACGGGTTGAAGTGCACTCGCTTGTAGTGACACTAAACTAGCCCGTCTGACAGGGGTATTAATTTGGATCGCGTCGGACATGTGTACCGACGCACAGTAGAACGCGCGCAAAAGTAGCTGTGGTGCACCTCAGCCTCGCGCTTGTTGTTCTCACATCTCTGGCTCGCTCACTGCGGGCATCCAGGCATCTGACACCCTGACATCTGGCGCTTTTTCTGTCTTTCACGTGGCGTTCCAAGCGGCACACGACGGAAAATGCACATCAAGCTGTTCTTGAACACGAGTCGCCATCTGTACTTTACATTAAGAAACTACAATTCGCCGTAACTGAATGGGAAAAGTTTGAGGCCTTATAACATTCTTAACGTGTAATATATCGATATGGAAGTTCTGGAAAATGTAATATCAAAGGATGCTTCATAATTTAATTTCTCGTTATTTTGATTAGTTGACGTGATTCCGTTTTTATAGCGCCATAAAATATTACAATTTTAAACTTGATTTTTTATATTAAAATATACATTATCTGTAAAGTTCGTTGCTTACTTTTTTATTTTATTACATCTAACCGAACGCTCACGTAAAATATTGTGGACGATGGGAGGTTATCACTCGAGAAATATTTTTTTTCAATATTAGAGACTGTGGTCTATTAAAAGCCAAATAATTAACTAACAACTAAAAATAATCGTGATATCAAGACATTAAAGTATTGTTGAAAAACTTCTCTTTAATTTGACACTAATTTTATAATTGTAAGATACATAGAAAGAAAGTTATAAGCCGTCGGAAAAGCACCGAAACGTCATGCACGGTGGGGTTGCACCTTAAAGTGAATGGGTCGCGAGTCTCGAACGCTGAGTAATTTCCCCCAACTCAGATAAATACCTAACAATATTCTTGGACCTTCGACTACGCTAAACGATTGACAGCATTGAATCAATGTGCTATGAAGATACACCGGATGTAGTGTCTGGATGTATCATTCGTAACAAAACTTTCTATCACGTTGCGAACGCGGACAAATTGTTTAGCATCCAATATGCTCTTCGCTACTCACTAAGGGCTGGCCAAGGAAAAACAGAGCTGTTACTTCTGTTAGACCTGGTGTCGCCCACAGTTCAAATGGACGAGGAAACGGTATATGAAGGCCGTCGTGTCCAGGCAGGGCACATCGGTGTGTGTATCGAATCGACAGTTCTTCTTTTATTAATTTCAGGGCCATTTAGACGTTAGACACAATGGTGGTTAAAAGAACTGAAATTACACATACAGCACAGGGATAGTTGGAGCGTGTGATTGCAAACTGCAGATTTGAAGGTGACGGACTCGGTGATGAAGACGACGGAGGCAGGAGGATGTTTCCAGTCCGAGCTAGTCTCCGGGATAAACCAGTCGAAGTACAGGTTAGTCCAGAACTCGGTACGCCAAGTTTCAATCGCTTGTCGGTGTCATAGGGTACTTAAGTCGGAGCCGTCAACATTAAACGGGAGTGCGATAAAAACAACCCAATGGTACTGGCTCGCCCGAACAGCCCAAATCACAGGCTTTTATCAGTCCCGCTTCGAGAACTTCGTGAATCGGACAGCAGTAAATCCGAATTCAGCGCACACAGGCATAAACAACTATAATAGACTATACACATTCATATCCCCGTGCAATGAAGCACACCCGCATACTGACAAAGCATTTACAAAGTTGGGGTTATAACCGTGTACGAGAGGCAAAGCACCAAATCGCATTGCCGCCTTGCCCCGGTTTGTTCCCGAAGAAAGAGTAATGCGTTGCGTTAATTTTACTTTTAGGTATAAGGTTGTGATTTTTGTTTGTGTTTTGGTGTACAACTTTGGCGTATAGTACTTTTTTTTTTTTCTAATAAGCTGTTGTCATAGCGCTTTGTGCACGTTGTTTCTGGTCCTTTGTGATTTTCGGCGCTGTTAATATTCCGGAACTACGCTATCGCTCCTGCGTCTTTCATTGCACCCGATTTTCTCGCAGTTAAAGAACAATGACCAAAAGATTATGCACAAAGTAAAACAGTTGTCGGTGGTTTGATGACTGGTCCGTTCAGTAGCTAGTGCTCGCAGGCGGCAGGTGCCTGCACGTGAAAAACTAGTAGTGTTCATTTCGGCCGACAAGTGATTTGATGGCTGTGATGACGGCGTTAGTGATGAGACGGTCGCATCCATATACGTGGAAACCCCTCGTTCCTCCCAGGGACCTGGTAAAGCGAGCCCCCGAGGTCGACCCGGCGTGTCTGGTGCGTACCATGTTCGTGTCCCCCAAGGCAGGCCTCAACGACCGCTCCGAGTGGAAGTACGTCGTCAACGTCCAGGAGAGGGACTCCAGGGCCAAGCAGGTCATCCGCGTAGACGTCTGCAGGTAGATGTGCATCTTGAATGTTCTATGATGGACGCCACTACTTCTAGACATTTGTGCGTACGCGCACTCCAAAGCACATGACGTGACATGACGTGATCTTATGGTATGACGTGCAACCACATTGTCACTCGACACCATGACTAAACGCCACGTGGTGTTTAATATCTTCTCACTAAAATTGAACGATTGCTTTTTAAATACTGTATGACTGGCATTATATGGCTTGGGAGAGACGTGCTCGATGCCAATCTTTCGTACGAGTTTGTTTTGTCGATGACATCGTAACAATTCCAGGATGCTTCTGTCAGAGTAACTTCAGGATGTATAAATGTTCACACAACCAAAATTTATATTGACTAACGAGGAGAATGAGCGGAATAAGTAAGAGGAAAAAAAAATGAGTCCCGTTGGGATTAGAAGTGATGTGATTATAAACGCACTGAAATCCTAGACCAATGCCATTCTCTATACACCTGGATTAATAATGGGATTCAAAGGTGGAATATGATTGCCAACCGAAAAATAACTTTAATAATTTTCGATCACCGCATTCTTAAAGGGGTCATGAAACTTTCTTTTTTCACAATTTTGCTAAATATTTTTTAAACCTTGATGCTCATAACACATGGTGTTATGAATCTGAGATTGCGCTCTCGAATTGGCCGAAAAATTCGGTGTCTGCACGTACGGACCTCAACTTTCCATGAAAGGTGTATTTTATTTTGTACATTTAACCTTGTGAAATTTCAAAACCTAGTTTTATTCCCGTGAAAAGCGAGAACGCATTTGACATCGTCAATGGCGGACGCCGACGCAGATGATCGCGTTAACTGACGGTACTCATGACCTACAGTAATCCTGAGTGACCTGCCCACAAAATGGCTCCCTATGGAAGGCGCTGCCGCCGATGAAGTGCGTCGTTTTTCTCGGTAAAGGCTTTCACCCCAAGGTAAAGGCCTGCGCCCCAAACGCGGTTCACAGCCTGTCCGGCGCACGGTCCGCATGGCGCGCGGCTGGTGATATCTGTTTCTCGGGTACACTTACCGTAGCGTGGCGCGAGTGGGCTGCAGTAGCTAAACAGTAGCAGTAGCACGTAGCAGCATTTATCGCTCTCATGTTTGCTTGGATCGAAAGAGCGTGTTTCTCAAGCACAAAAGCACACGGGCGTTTTGTTTTTTGTAAAGTTTCTTTTAGCCCTGACTGCACTTGTGCCATCGTGGAAACAAGGCACGTTCTCGGATCACCCTTAAATAGCCACTGTGCTGGCAGCTGGCACCTCTAGTGACGAATTTGTCACGCGACCACCGACTGACGACTCGATCCCGCGAGGCCCGTAAGGAGAGCAGGTCAAGACCAGATTAGGCCGCCGCGCATTGCGCGCGTTCGATTGATTTGCGGATATCATAGGAAACAAGAAAAACCTTAATGCCGTGCCGCGAAGTCGTAGCGTGACGAAACGTTGCGGCCACGGCCATGTGCTACAAGGTGCGCGCTGACACATTCTTCTGGGGGCGGGTAAGGATTAAGTATAAAGGCTGGACCGCGTGTAAGCGACTTCGCGAGCGACGAGACGAGCGACGGCGGCAGCGAAGAGAGTCAGTGACAGGGGAGTAAAGGTGGGTGAGGAGGAGTGGCAAATCCTGAGCGCCGACATCTGGAGTCTTGAGTGAAAGAACGCGAAAGAGCGCTACAGAACACGAGAGAAAGAAACCAATCTTGCCAGCTGAAGGACGACAGTCGCAACGGTAATCGCGAATACTGAAAACTGTCAGCCAAATAAGAAGTGATCATTTTCAGTTGTAAACTAAATTCTGAGCTATTATAATGCTCACAAAAAGCAGTTTACTCATTACGCTGCATTAACTTCCCTTTTGTCGTAATTTCGAAAATCGAATGGTTGCGCTGTTTCGTATTCCCGGGGCGCTCTTATCAAAACCATAGCGCGAAGCCGCTTATCTGGTTTCGTTTCGCGTTGACGCGATGCCGTACACCTGCGCGCAAAGAGAAAGCTTCGATAGGAACGCGAATATCTTTTCACCGGTAAGTATGTGGATTGGTCGTTAGGAAGACCGTGAAATCTAGTAAATAAGATGTAAAGCTGGTTGGTAACCATGTGCGGGACTCCAAAGGTGTGCCTCCATGCTCCGCCACTTGCGGCAGCCAGAATCATGGGCGTCCGCAGAAGGGCGCAAGGGGAAGGGGGGGGGGCAGTTGCCCCCCCCCCCCCTGGAATTTCAAGGGGGTGCAAGAGGGGGGGGGGGGAGCTACACCCACACCAGTTAAAGGGTGCTCCGGCGGTTCTTTAGGTACCCAAACGAACTACATTTTCTGAATACCATGAATTTACTGTTCCCAACATGCTATAATTAGTATCTGGAAATCGAAAATGGCTATTAAAAAAACGGCAAATTTAAACGAAAAAAAAATAATAAAGTGCCAAGGAAGTTTTGATTACGTCGCGAGACCTGCGAAACTTGCTTTCGACGCGTTGTGCCTTTTTCTGTGGCACTGCGCTTCTAAAAAATTTCCACGTGTTCTCAACTGCAAGTCTCACGGCTTTCAGAGGGTTTAAAAGAATTTTTTCGGCGAATGATGACAAACGACTAAAAATGTGTCTTCAGCACGCTGCCGCCAGCCTCCGCAACGCTCCAAAAACATAATTTTTCGACGTGCAAAATGGCTTTCCGGTGGTTTCACTCGAGGGAGCGGGAAGCGCGAATTAGCAATTGTCATAGAGATCAGTGGTTTGTAGACCCAAATCCAGGGCGCAGCCATGAAGGCAGGTACAGAGAGTAACGCGGAAACGTGCTGAAAATAGCCAACATCGCCAACATTCCCCGGAGGGGGGGGGTGTATAAGTGTGCACCCCCCTGGAAAATGTTCTGCGAACGCCCATGGTCGGAATGCATGAGAAAATGTCGGACCCTTTTTGTTTCCTCTATAGAGTTAACATGAACTGTATGGTCAGTAACGGGCGACGGAGGCTTCTCACTGTCGCTCGTCGCGTCGCTCGGTTCTTGGATTTTTAGAAAACGTCGCTCATCGCCTTGGTCGCTTGCTCCCGTCGCTTTCATGCGGTTTGCCTCGACGCGCGAGTGACTGAGCGACGACGAAGCGGGTCGCTGTCGCTTGTCTCGTCGTTCGCTAAATCGCCAACATGCGCATGTTGCCGATCTGGCGTGCGCCAGGAGCCGTTGGCAGTACCGTAGCGAGACGCCTTTCTTGCACGTCGTCAGGGCACAGCCACGTGACAACAAGGATCACGCGACCATCTACGTCACGTGCACCCCCCCCCCCCCGCCCCTTTCCCGGGCCCAAAATTTTTGTTTTCTCTTGTAAAGTTTTTTCTTTTTTTTTTTGTATCGCGTTTGTTTTGCTTTTCGGCGTTTCTCTCTCTCTCTCTCTGCTTGTGGTTTACTTGGTTTTCTGGCGTTGTTTCCCGCCGTCGTCGTAGTGGGAGTCGTTTCATGGTTTCATTATGTTTAGTTTCTGAGAGTGTTATCGGTGTTGTTTTGCACTTTTAAGAAATGCCTGCACGTATACGTGCCCGCAAAATACTCAAAGAGCCAATCATTGTTATCTAGTATATCGGCTCAGCGAATGATGAGGCGGAACATCCGTTTAGACCTTAAAATTAAGTGTGCACTGTGACATTGCGGAATGCAAGCATGACGCTTTACATCGAGTAATGCCACAGCGTAGAGTTCATTTTTAAGTCTAAACGAATGTTCCGCCTCATCATTCGCTGAGCTGATTTCCTAGATCGCAATGATTGGCTCACTGAGTGTGTTGCGGCTAAGTAGACTCGCAGGCATTTCTTAGAGCGTGACGTGTTGACGGAGTCATATGTTACGTGCCTAAGACATTTCGGTCCTAGTTGGCAACGGAAATGGTGGAAACATCTTCAGCGTGCGTGTGGGACTGGCTCGATAGTTGATCTTTTCGGACGAGACACGCTGGACGGCGATGTTCTGAGCTCGTACGTTATTTCGGTCCGCGTCTCCCTTAAACCTTTTGAATCTACAACAAAGGCGAGCTGGATGTCATTCTGTATTTCCTGCACGTAACAAATGTAAGTGCGTACACTACGTAACACTGAGAAATTTGGCACTCTTTTTGTGCCTCCATGTCGTGCGAACGCGTCTTCGTGTGGTTGCAGTCTCGCCTTGCATTTGACTCCCGCCCTCTTTTTAACCGGGTTTCATGAGTTCCTTGTTTAGTTTAGATTTCCTTTTTGGTTCGTGTACAACGAGCGGGTTAACTACGAAACGATCGGAATGTTAAATAGAAGGTTGCGAATGCCAACATTGCTTCCTTGATGTTTCTTGGCCGGCGCGAACGAAGAAAAGTTCTGGCACGGTTGCACGAGGTACACGCATTTTCCAATCGACTGTAAATTTTATGACATGGCATTCGGCTCCTTTGTCTATATAAAACACGTGAAATAAATCATGAAAAGCAACGGTGCCGCATTCTGTCATGTTGGGCACAATCAGGCAAACATTACGTGCTGCCTGATAGCTGAGGTAGGAGGCGGTGGCGCGTGTTGAACCGCGACGCCGCCTGCATGCAAAATATTTGACCGCCACTTTCGATCACTTTGCAGTCCGAACTCCGAAGCTCCAAACTTCAAGTTGTCAAAATAAGGAGAAAAATATTTTGTCGGGGGACGTCAAAATAATTTTGGAAATAGTTTCACGTTTTTAGGTCTTAAGAAAAGAGGCATCACGAACGTCAAAATAATATTTAAAATTATTTTTAAAGTGGTCGTTGAAATAGTCACTACCAGAAAAAGTGAAAGACGTTTACAATCTCCTGCAATGCCGAATTAGAGCGTAGCTCTTGAGGAGGAGGAGGGGAAGGTGCGGGGAGGAGGGTATACCCCTCCTCCTCATCCGTACCCTCCCCTCCTCTTCTGCTCGTCTCCCATTTAGGGGAAAACTTTCCCCGCTAAATATTAGCGGAAACAATTCTAAGCTAAATTTAGCGGAAAAATTCGCCCGCTAAATTTAGCTGGAAATTTACCCATAATGCAACGCGCAGTGACGTCATCTACGATGTTACTGCTGACCCTCGTGACGTCACTTGTGACGTCATCATGAGAAACGTGCCATAATACACCGCGCGGTTACGCCTGACGGTGACGTCGACGCCGACGCCGCTCAAGCCGGAAACAGGCGCCCAAGAGCTGCGCTCTAATAAAGACGAACTGAGAAGATGTGGGAAGGGAGGGGGTACGTATTTGGTCACATGATCCCTGTTTCACGCGACTGCGTCTTGACCACGTGCAAAAAAGGCGTCCCTACCGTAGCCATGGTAGCCCGTGGCAACGCTCTGCTAAAACTGCCTAACGCGAACTGCTCTGAGTTTACGGTGGACAAGAAGGAAAGTGCCACAGCGCCTTGCCCCGGTTTGTTCTCGAAGAAACATGATATGAGAGACATCTTTATTGTGCCTTGGTAATGCTGCTCTTGCACATCAGCAGTTCTTAAAGAAAGAGTAATACGTTGCCTTGATTTTGCTTCCAGGTCTCCTGACAGATCGTGCTCGAGCGTCATCAGTCTGCCCTTCGGATACATGAGCCGTTGTCGACAAAAGTATCTCAAGAAGAAGCTCCTCTCCCTGGACTCGGACGGCGAAGGGACGTCAGAAGACAACTTCTTCGTGCCTTCTTGTTGCGTCTGCGAACTGGTCAGGGACGTCAGCAAGAAGTAGATGGGGCCTTCCTCCCTCCAAGATAAGAAGCGACGGATTATCGACGACCCAGCATTTCTTCAACAGTGTTGTGATCTATGAACACTGTGGCATGTTGGGCTTAGTATTAGGCTGACTGCGGAAGGACAGCACTTCTGCTGCCAAGCCGGTGGGTGACAGTCGGACATCACGTTTTTTGGGGGGTTTTTTTCGAGATCACCGAGACCCCTTTACCGGTTGGTGATGCTTGATTGTGAAGAATCGATTTCTCTACGAAAAACACCGAGTTCAAGATAAATATGGACAGAAGTATATTCTCGTAGATTAGTGAAGCGACGTATTCCAGTATAATACGCATCTTTGCTTTATGGTTGCCTGAAGAAGGAAAGGCTTGCTGTGACGTTCAGATGTTTCCGATCTCGGCTGCTGGATACTGCATGAGTACTGCGTTCTTCAAGGCTACGTGATCTCTCCTCACCCTCGAAGTGCGAGCTTATGCGCTATTCTTTCAAGCTCTCACAGTCCCTGTTTTTTCGTACTTGTTTAAGTTTTTTTTTTACATCTCCGTTTATAATTTTAGGGCTCATATTGAACTCCTACAATATGAATATGGCGAAAATACAGTCTGCACCAGGAACAAGAACACCGTGATCAATATTGTTTTCTCGCTTGTACCAGTATACTCCAGAGAGCGACTTTTCTATGTGTGGTATTATCCGGCGGCCATAGTTGAGCCCGTTGTTATTGTGCCTAGAGTCACTAAATGAGGTACGCTTAGAGTATTGACACGCCGTTCCCCGATCTGCTAGTGGGCGCCTTCATCTTGGTGCTTGGTGCACAGCAAACGCAACTGTCGATATTGTTTTGCTCTGTCCAGGTGATATTGTTTTGCTCTGTCGCGAAATGTTTGAACATTTCGAGAGGACGGAAAAGCGTTTCTTACGATTTAAGACAAAGCTTCAGATAACTGGCAGCCATGTTTTAAAGCACCAAGATGGCTGAAGTGTCGTTAAAGTGAAGCATAGCTTAGTTAATGGCTCTAACTGCGCCCATTGTGCCGACGCATGCCTCCACAACGCTTTCGCAAGATCCATCCAACACCACTAAGTGTTTCTTTCTTTTTTTTTCTTTGGTTATTACATGAAAGCGCGTTCTTAGCATGCGCGAGAAAACAACCAATATATACTCCGTTTCACAAATGTCTGCAATAAAGACAAAGGCCCAGGCGCGACTAGTACACAGGGCGATACTTTACAAAGCTACGCACTTGTGCCCACGCTTTTGTTTGCATTGCAAATGTTTGTGAGATGGAGTATAGTTTCATAATTCCGTAAAATTTCTTGAAAAAGAATTCCGAGGGCATCTAAGTACTTACGAGTTGTGAATGCGAAAGCATGAATGTCGTTCTTCGCACCGCGGTCGCTTCTGATCCCCTCGGTGTCACCGCCATTTCTGCTCCTTGGAACGCTGCGCGCCAGCAAACGGGAGCTTATGCACCAATTCGCTGCTACAAACTACAAGCTTCGCTCTATGGGACAGGGGAACTTGGGTGCCGTCTGGCGCGGCTTCAAAAGCTGTAAACGCCAGTTCGCTCATAAAACAGTTAATGACTTCGCATTTAAAAAAAATCTAAAAAATAAACCACGCGTGGGTATTTTTACGAAGTCGTATCTGATATTGGTGCGGCAAGTGTCCCGGTTTTTTGAAAATTGCATAAAATGGTTTTCACAAGTTTCGAATTTTGTCGGATCTTCGGTTGATTTTTGGCAGATGTGTTCCCATCTTAATAGCGCCGAGATGTTTCGGTGGCGCCCTCTTATAGATTCTGTTCTTGGCGTCACGACCAGGATTTGCCTCGCCATGATGTCACGAGTTGTATTCCTGGCTCTACTTACCATCAGTTGCCAACTACAACTTCGAGGGTGTGTCTAAAAAGCACGAAGAAGCTTGGAGTCCTCGGATTTGTAAACCAACACTCTTGAAGTTGACAGTCTGACATTGTTCTTATTTCCGTTGATGACAGCAAAATTAATCCAAATCAAGACGTCATGGTGAGCGTTGGGCCAATCGCGAATGCCGATCATAGCAACGCGTTTGGTCGCGCATGTCGCGAATAGGCTGGAACCCATTTACGAAAAACCGAAAAGAAATAAACTACTTCCATAAATCCGTCCCCGCGCGCGTTGCATTCTGGAATCCTGTGGGCCTGGAGCGGAGCGTGTATGAATTTTTTTTTTTCTTCCCACTGATTCCCAGAATGCAACGCGTCATTACGCCGCGATGAGGCGCTTCAATATTTGGAGTAAAGTCTATTGCACGAAGTTGGGAACACACACCTTGGTATGCATTCGAATACCAAGATGTTTAACCCAACCACGCGGTGCATTTAGCGTACAAAAATCGCGAACACGCATTTCACGAGCCCATTTTTGCAAATTACGTTAAAAATACCATTAAAAAAATGTTGAAACGAATTTTGCATGCTCAAAAGTTTATACAATTTTCAGTTTTTTTTTAATGTTTAGGCATGTTTTATTATAGTCGGTGACAGGTCAAGAACGAAGTGGAAGCTCCTCCCACCTCTTTCCACTTTAGTGGTGCGAACGCTGAAGGGGAGGCGACCTCCTCTCCACCATTCGCTCCGCTGAGGTGGAAAGGGATGGAAGGAGCTTCCACTTCGTTCTTGACCTATTACCGACAATAGGTGCTATTTCAGTATTCATCGAGAAACACACGTATATTTTCGTAGACCATATATTTAGCTTTTTGGGATGTAGATACTGTACATATAGTTAATTTACGGCTGTTAAAAAATTGAATCATGAATGTGCTTAATTGTCTGTCGTTACAAAAGCTTGACGATCTCTCACGTTGATAATGTCTCGCGTACGGTAATGATAGGCCTTTTATCACTGCGGTGAGCCTAAAATGTAAGAATAAAAGACGCCTTTTGACTCAGCCTGTGAAGGTAACGACCTACTACATTGCCTGCCAATTATCTAGATGCACTTCGGCATTGGATTCATGTTGGTTCCCGGAGAGCACCCAAAAGCCAGCGCGAAATCCTGCATATTGCGCAAGGGCCCATTAACCCGATACCAGGCTGGACTCACTGGTCCGTGGGTCATCTGTTTTACCATAAACCTGGGGTTGAGCTTCTCGCACATGCTGCGCGCGTAGTAGATAAAAAAAAGTTGCTGCCCAGCCAGGTTCGGTGCAGTGCCCAGGCGATAATCGCCGTCGTGGGCGCTCAGATGCTGCAAATAAGCCGCGAATGCGGTGCGTACGGACAGCAGATCCAGGAGGTCGGACAGAGACGTCTTGGCGGAGTTGAGGGGAACACGACTGGGGTTGAAGCTGAGCTCCTTGTACTGCTTCTCCAGGCAGAGTCGCACAGCGTCAAGGTAGCGACTCTCGTCGGCAGACGCCTTATTCAGGTCAAAGTTGATCGCTTCGTGGTACAGCAGTCGGTACAGTTCCCTGAAAAGTCGTGGACCCACACGAGGCACGTGGAGGTGCGATACGCTCGAATCATTAGACATCACAAAGTCGAAGACTGGGAGCGGGATTTCTAGGTGGCGGTACGGTGGAGAAAGGGTCGCCCACGTTCGCAAGAAGCCTCCCGTCCACGTCGTCTTGTTGCCCACTAGAAACTGACGACGCTTCAGGGCCGAAGTCCGAAGCCAGAAGTAGAAAAAGTGAGGCACGGGATGACGGGGATTGTTGGTGTAGATGCCTTCGGCAAAGATTTCAGCGGCCTTTTTTTCCGAGAGCCAGTAGGGCATGAGGGCTTCCCAGTAAACTTCGCTAAGCTGATCCGATGCCTTTTGTCTGAAAATTGAAGTAAACGAGGTCGCATTGTTGAACTCGTGTAGGAAGGTTTTCTTGAGGGTGTCCAGAATGATTCGAATCACATCAGCGCCTCCAAGAAGTTCGAGAGCTCGGTGAGATGTGAGGTATGTCGGGAGGAATGGGTCGTACCGTTCCAGGAAACGAACGCAAATCTGGGCCGGAGATAATTTCTCGGCGAACTCCGCATAACGAGAGTACGCTATAGAGGCAAGTTCGGACCGCACGGACCAGTTACTGAGTAAGGGACTGAGCTCCAGAATCACGCGGAAGGCGACATAGTTTAGAAGATCTTGTTTGGAGACAGGCAGGGTGCGCATCCGATCCAAGTACTCCGGAGAGGAGAGGTAGATGCTGACAGTCTCTCCGAGTTTGGAGCCTCCACCCGTGGCAATTTCGAGGAACTTGCGAACATCTAGATATCCTGCCTTGGGAAGGTTCATCACCTGTCGCGTTGTGCAGTTCTTTAGCCTTCCAGCGTCTTGCAGTTCTTGGTCCGAGTTGAGGATCTTGCGAAGCTGGATCTCCACGGCAGTTACATTTGTCGTAGAGTGGGACTGAAAAGTAACCTTTGACGGCATCGGCAGTGTTTCTAGGATAGAGTCGCAGGCTTTGCTGAGCGAGCGTCCAGGAAGCTGCGGTTCCGTCGGCAGGAAATGTCGAAGAAGCAGATTCCGAGGCTGTCCTATCTGAAGACCGTTCGGACCCCGGGAGAGACTCAAGAGCGTTTCCAGCCCGAGCTCTGAAAATGCACGGCCGACCCTGGCAGAAAGTTCAAAGTCGGTTATGGTGGCATCCTCGGGATACGGCCAGCCCTTGAATTCGAGATGGCGGAGTAGGGTTTCTCTCACGTTGCGGAATAAATTAGGCTGTGGCTGGACACATTCGTCGAAGAAGAACTTTAGCTCTGGAAAAGGTGGTGCGTCTGCGCGAATGACACTGATGAGAAGGTCGCTGAACAGGTCCAGCAAGATCGAGTCCACGGATAGCCCGTCGTTCTGCCCGCTGGAGGGCTGGCGATGCTGCCAACGTGCGCAGACATGCTGATAGAAGTCGTCACAAGGCCGAATTGTAGGCTCCAGATCCTCTAACAATTTGGCTCCCTGCTCCATGCATGCCTTACTGGTGCACTTGGATCCACGCAGCAGTTTCCGTAGGCTTCGCCGCGCATTGCGCGCAGAGTTCAAGGGACGTCTCGCGAAGAAGTTACGACTTTCGAGCGGGGTTTTTTGCGCTTTTCCCGGTGGTGCTTCAGCCGAAACGGTGGGTTCCTCTCCAATAAGTAGTGGCGTTGCAATACCATCATCGGCATTGTTTTGAACGTTATTGCTACCGCGACCGTTCCTGTTGTTTAAGTCCGTGATGACCATCGAGCTGATGAGGAGTACGCAAGCGACGCTGATGAGCAGAAAGGTGATGGCTTTGACGCTTGTTCCTCCCACCGTACCGTTGCGGTCGGGAGCTCGTTGGTCGGTTGGCTCGGCCGGTGGACGGCGAGCAATGATGGTTTCGTCTTCAGCGACGTCCGTACTCTGACTGCTGCGACGGTGGAGCGAAATATGTGGCACTGGGTGAGCGGAGGTTACCCTTATTCTGGTTATGGAAGACGACACGGCAATCTCGTCCTGTGGTATATCGAATATCAGGTGAGCTTCTTGGCAGTCCTCTGCCATCGCAATTCATTGGAATATCTGCTCACGCGATAAGGCGGAGCACGGGATCACGCGCAGAGACACTTCACCCTCCTCTAAAGAACGACATGACTGTCGTCGTATCTCAGATAAACATATAAAGGGAATTGTTTGTTAGTTTGGTTGACGAAAAAAGGGGAGGCAGTAAAGGGCCTCCATCCTAAAGTATTGGTATGTTTGTGTAGGCCGTCCAAGTAGAGATTCTTCCAACTACAAATGCGTCAATTCACAAGATTCGTGTCTTCAGCAGCCCTTGGAAGCAAATGGCGGCGCAGCACTGAAACGCGCGCCCCTTTGTAGCGAATGGCGACGGAGCACTTGTTCGTGGCACGTGTCTCGCGCGTTCTCACAAGAATGGTTGTCGATACTTGGAAGAATTGCAGAACGGGACTTTATCAACATCCGGAACCGGTCGATACTTGACGGTTGGAAAGGGGTTAAAAATAGAAGGGAAACGAACGAAGAAGGAGCAAGAACGAAAGAGAGACGAAGAGGCGAGAGGTGTTACAAGAACAGTATATATCCGTTTGCTGATGGTACACCGGAAGGCGGTGGGGACGCGATAAAGATTTTCCTCGGGCGTTTTGTTTTCCCTGTATAGGTTTCGAGGGAGGGAACTCCACCGGAGCATTTTTCGGGAGTCGGGGGCACGGAAGTGAACTAACATCCTTCCAGTCTGCGAAATGTCCCGTGCACCCGCGTGAAAGACTCCTAGTCGGCCTGGCGTTTTCCTGCTCTTTCACACAATAAATGCAACACTACGCGCACCGCCACCACCACCACCAAGCTATGAAAAGGAAACACTGGGGCCGATCGAAAAAAATAAAAAGACAGTGAAACTTCTTTTTTTTTTAAATTTTGCTTTCAGTAAATATCATTTAGTTGAACTTTGAAGTAGCCTATACAACACAAAAGAGTTTTTTTTTCATTCTCAACGCGATTGTAGCCACAAAAAATATGAGAGAAAAACAACACTTCTCAACTTGCAGCCAGAACAAGCAACCACGTGATCGATGTAATCCTGTCTTATGCCGCCAATCTTCGTCCATACTGGGGTCGGCAAAGTAAAAGGCCCTTGCTGATCGAGCGCCATAGGCGTTAGAGGCTGGCTATTCCTGTCATTGCAGTGATGAGATGTTTGCCGATGCACTGAGAGCCTCTTTGTAAACAACGCGTTATTGCACACTTCAGATTTCACGATCTCGTACATTCCCCCCGGAGACGGCCACGTAGAGTTACCTTTCGACCATAGGCAGAATTTTTTTTTTTTTTTTTTTTTTTTTGGGGGGGGGGGGGGGGGGGAAGTTCAGGAGAGGCAGAGAAAGAAAACAGACGAAGGGCTAGGCCTGTTCGTTTTTCCGCGACAAGTTGAAGTTTCTAGAGCGCTTGCGAGCTTCAATTAATTTTGTCATGGAGCGATGCCGGTGTTTTTTCTACGAAGTAAGATAAAATAACAGGGTACAGACCTTACACGTAATGTTTTGTTGCTTCTTTGCGCGTATTAAAGCGTCGTCTGCGAAATGGGCTCATCAGGACCGCCAACTCTTACCGCCGATGTCCGCGTCCCGCGGCACCGTTCCAAAGCGGCCAAATGCGTAGGACCTTTCACTCTAGATTATTAATGTGAAAGCATTAATTGCTTTCGATCCCGGACTGCGAAGTCAATCCGGTGGTCTTTGACTTCGCAGTGCTCGGCGACTGCGACTGCGATCTGCGACCGGATTGACTTCGACAACACCAGCATTATCGACGCAGAGACTAACAACCGACATAGGCTTTTCGTCGAGTCCTGGCATATTCAAACGACGCCAGGCAACATAAATAGGTGCCTTGGTGCTTTACCAACAGTGTATGTGAACGGGCTTCGCCATATTCATGAAAGAAGAAGATCGAGAAATGCGCCACATCCCTGAGAAAAGAAAAAGAAGATCGAATAACGTCGCTCCTCAACGGCCACAGTCGCCCCTGACGAAGAACCGAGTCGGTTCGAAACGTAGGGCCCCTACATGTTTAGGAATTGGTTGGTTGCCATATTTTAATTATTGTATTCCCCAACCAGAGAGATTTCTCTCAAATGTTTACTTGTAGTCATCCCTTCCCGGCTTCCCGGCTACATACGGCTGCGCGCACGTACATCATCATAGATTATCATTTGGCACGCCCCGGTATCACCTTGATTCTCTTGCATGTTTTGACTTCATAAGATTGTGTTGTTTGTGATGCCTTACTTTCCTCAGCAAGTGCAGAAAAGCAGTTCCAGTCGTCTTATCGCTTTAGAATCGCTTTGTCGTCTGCTTCGTCGTCGTCTGCTTCTTCGTCATCTACTTCTTCGTCTTCGTGAAAGCGTGAGCCCACTGCCGTTCACGAGGTAATCCCACTGCGGCCGCGAAAAAAACAAAACAAAAAAACGGCGATACTACTTGAGCATTTTGACTCCTCGGACGTCTCAATTACCTTGCAAACAAGTGAACATCTAGTGCAATAGCAGAGAACAAGAAAATTCGAGGGACCATCGGCTCGGTGTAGCACCACGGAACAGCATCAAATATGATGAAAAACTGAGCTTGGTGGTGCTCAGTCTTGTGCATAACGTTTAATCAGCCATCAAGTATAAGGAGCAAAAATAGACTTTCGGTCAGCGATAGTTTTCTAAAAGTTGTTTCATTCTGGTTGACAGCCTGTGTGACAGAGTACAGATAAACAGCGGGAGAAGACTGCACACAAAGAACTGATCTACACAAAGGCCATGCCTGACGCGCCGTAATAAATGGCATCTATCAAAAAGAAGCAACCGGGCGGCGGAGAAAAGCTCACCGGAGAAAAGCTCACCGGAGAAAAGCTCACCGGAGATAAGCTCACCGGAGAAAAGCTCACCGCAAAACCGGCAGATGCGGAGAAAAGCTCACCGGCCTTTCAGCAGATGCGGAGAAAAGCTCACCGTTATTTTTTTAGCTTAGCTTGATTCTGCGTCAAACTTGGCAGTTTAACACAGTTCGCATTCGTCACTTCATTAAAAATATGTCCTCGTTTTTGTAATAATCTTGAGATTCATTGGGAATATTTACTAATTCCTCAGAAATTAGAAATCACCCATTCTGTAAATTAATGAAGCCGCAAGTATAAAATCAGAACATCGTACACCGGTAAAATAAGGCAACAATTTATTGACAGCTGAGGGTGCGCCGTCGGTAGCTCTGTCAGATAAAGAGGTTTGTTTTTTGCGAGCTAATATGAATAGCGGTGTGTGAATCGCTTGAGGTCGAAATATTGTGTGGTGCCTAATAGATAAGTAGATGTCTGTTAATGCAATCAGTGTCGGCTACGCTGTTTTCTTCTGTTAATTTCACTAACAAAACTTTAGTTGCGAGAACAGCTTCGTCGTGTCGTGTTCGTTGTCTTCACTCAGTCGTCGTCGTTTGAGCGGTTTTCATCATGTATATCGTTTACCAACTCGCCCAATTCGCTACCTACCTTACAAAAGACTAGTTCTTATATTGCTCACGAGTAACAACGGTGCCAGTGTGCACCTCTAAAGGTCATGGGTGGCTCACCGTAGAAGGCACTATCACACAAAGGGAACGCGTGGAAACACCAGCTCGAACGGCTAGAAAGCGTGCATGTCCGTGGAAGAAGCCTCGATATCCTATTGACTGTTTTATCCTGTTTTCAAATGTTAACAAACGCTTCAAAGAGAATTTCAGGCCCCGCGTTGTTGCGCAAGCACTTTTGAATTTTTGGCATTTACACCTCTGATTTTTAGGTTTTAGGCAGTCATCATTACGTTCTTTTTTTTTTTAATTTTTCCTGTTCTTCAAGTTCATAAAGATATTAGTTAGGCCTTTGTTGCCTAGAGAGTAAGCCACAAAAAACACTCGCCCGCAATTATTAATTTGGGAGCAATATACCCAATAAGCCTAACAAATATTACAAAAGAGGACATTTTATTTTTTACAAAGCTGACGAATTTTAATGATAATAAATTGATATATGTTACGCACGATCCAACAACCTCCATATAAAAAGAAGAAAAAATATCAGTGAGCTTTTCTCCGCATACGCTCAATGGCCGGTGAGCTTTTCTCCGGTGAGCTTATCTCCGGTGAGCTTTTCTCCGGTGAGCTTTTCTCCGGTGAGCTTTTCTCCGGGATTCGAAGCAACCATGCCAGATACCTGAAAGCTTGGGGTGGAGATGATTTTTCGTGCAGAGTTTCTATTCAGTTTTATTTTGTTTGTGCAAGATCCGAACGCTAACAGTCGCCCGACGGGGGAAGCTTTTTTCTGCGGTCTCGACTGGTGCTAATGCAGAATGGATCAGTAACACCAGCCTAATAGACCACCACAAAATGGGTGAGGTTCGTTTGTTACCTTTTTGGCGGTAAGTACGTGTTGCACTTCTAAATTGCATTTAATCTTTTCGCGTTGGTATGGGAAAAAAATGAAGGCTGCTTCCGAAAAAAAGTTGTTTTATATCAAGTGGTGCATATTGGGAATCGCTGCTCTTTTTTAGTGATTGTCCTGATCTTTTGAAGCACAGTTGTGCTTGAAACATGTCGACGGCAATAACAGTTATAACCACCAAAATACACCGAGTAAGAAGTGTATTAAAGACGGCCTCCGCAAAGCAGTGCGGAGGTCCTATTTGAGATAGACCAACGATTAGGCTGCTACGGAGCAAATGGTCAGAGAGATTCCAGCTTACGGAACACTTCGGCACGCTCTATGTCTCGTGCCCTGTAATCTTACATATCTTAGCTGACGTGCAATAATTGGATATAAATTATAAAGCAAATCGCGAAACAAATCGTAAAACACTATTTTTCCTGCCGCTCTATCCGGCTCTGTCGACCTTTCTTCGCCATGCATCTTTCTTGCGGGAGGACATAATGTCCAAGGCCTTTTTGCCTGGTGCTGTTATTATAGCTCCGTGGCATACAACATGTGAAGCCACCCATTGAAAACCATGAGTAAACACCTGGCTAAAA